ACCGTTGGCCGCATGAATCTCCACCCCATCAAAACCTGCATAACATGAAATGTAGCAACATTGCTTGTGGGATTTTTTTAGGGATTTTATGGAAGGTAAATTTATGAGATTGTCGTAAGGAAGTTCATAAGGCACCAAACGGTGGTTCAAATAAAAACTAGTTTTGGTGCTATACACAAGTGTTGTACCGGTATTGAACACATTAAAGAAAAATTTGATTAAATTAAATGTAGGAAACGGGGTGAGCGTTGATGACCATAGTAAAGTTTTATTCCAAAACCACTTAGTTGACGGAGGAGTAGCCTATTAGACTAGGCGTATAAGGTAGACTTATTTTTCCTGTATAAACGATGTGACAACTCACAAGTGATATTTTAATGTTAATTATTAAATAATTAACTTGCTTCGATGTTCGAAAAAAAATAAATAAATAAAAACCTGCTTCGATGGCATTTTTGGCAGCCAGTCTAAAATCATCGACGACTTGCGTGATTTCGCGGGTTGTGAGCCGATGGGGTGTCGAAAAATTTTCGGCACTTGAGTCTCCAATATGTTCATAACCAGCAATTGGCTTGTCCGTGCTAGAAATTGGAGCACTGCCATTAAGCTGAAAACCTTCAACGACGAAAGAAAAAAAAAAATTATACATTTTTAGTGTGCATTATTTTTTAATTTCAGATACAACAACTAATTAACTTTATGTTTTTAGGAGCACATCATGAATTTAATTTGAAGTTGCTCTTAATGTTAATGTGAGTCCTCGTTTACTCAAAATAACTGAGATTGGACAATTTAATCTCATCAACTTTACACGTCGGCTTGTGTCTAATATTTACAAAACATGATGCATTTTAAAGGAAAAACAATCAAGTGTTTACTAACGTGGATAATAAAATGTAAAGATAAAAAAGCTAAATACGAGGTGATGTCAAAATATATTTATATCGTTTAAATTTGTAATTTGGTGGACTTCTAAAGGTAAAAGAGACATTTTACATGCTAATTTTTGGACAAAAATGGTCATTTCTAAAGTGCGATTAAAATGTCCCACCCTCAAGACCGGATAAAATAATCTGCCAATCGTGCATAAAAGTGTGGGACCCACACGACGCATCAGTTTATTATTCAATCCCATCATTGTTAGTAAATTTTGGATAAAAGGAGTTATCTAACCATATCTCATTCTATCAACTTAAGTAAAAGAGGTTTGAGTTGAAAAAATAATCACATGATAGCACATTAAGAGTTGGTAATAAAAAAGTAAACATATATAGATGAAGTCATCCACACTTATTCACAAATAGTGTTTCGACACGTGTCCTGCAATAAATACAGTTTGGACATGTGTCAACACATTAAATGATGGATGCTTCCATAAATATACCATCCGATGACTCCATAGATTTTTTGATAGACGAAATAAAGTGAGAAAATGTGTTTTATGTTTACTATGATTGGAAACTCTGCCAGCATGCCAAATTTGGCAAAAGAATAGGCCTCCTTTCTCATGAACTGCTTCAACAATTGGCTTCCATGCTTCTACTTGTTCTTTGGTCCATATGCCTGGGGTATTTGGATATCTTCATACAAGAAAAAAACAATCAATGTTAAAAACCATGAAATTATAAAACTAAGGTAAATTATTAATTTTCTATTTAGTCAATTGATTAAGTCCAAAATTTTTACGACACGTATGTTAAGAATGTAGCCAAATATGAGATAAATTCGATCCTACCCATGGGCACAAATTCGATTTAAGAATGTAGCCAAATATGAGATAAATTCGATCCTACCCATGGGCACAAATTCGATTTTCCCATAGGCAGGCACGAATTCGCCCTAAATATAAATGATTTCCTATATAAATTCGGAAATGTATTACTAAAACTAGTAAAAACTTTCTAAAATGTACATTTAATAAAAAAAAAATATTTTTAAGCTGAGTATTAATTAAATCAGTGTTACTTACCTTGAGCTGTTTGTGAGATGACATTTCTAATTTCCATTTTAAGTTGAACGTGGATTTTATTAAATCATTGTTACTTACCCTACTACTAAGGAGTTTATTAAATTATAATATCTCACAAATGATCCACTAATTATGCGTTTACTCCTACACACCAATTCATTATATGTATATAATTAACATTTTAGTCACAAAATGTTCACGAAACATCATTATGTAATTTTTTATTTTTCTTAATTACTGATTAGAAACTTAAATAAGTATTTGAAAACTAAAACTTTTATAAGTAAATGATCAGATAATCAGGCCATAATTAAAAATTACGCTGGGAAAAAAGAAATTGAAACATAATTGAAATTAGTAGTTAATAACAAATCCAAAATTGTGTCAATTGTCGAACATATTTGATGAATCACAAGCACGAAAGGCATCTCCAATAATCAAAGACTTGAAATCTCTCTATAAAACAACAAGATTCATTAATATCTCATACTACAAAAA